GTCTTCCTGTCGAAGCTCCATCTCTATGGGAGTATTCTTATTGGGGCGCTCATTGCCCCAATGGCCACTCTGTCCACAGATCCGGCACCGACCCGGATCACTTCTCTTGCCCTTGCTCTTGCCTTTGTTCTTTCCATAGGACTTTCCTTTGCTCTTGCCTTTGGTTCTCTTTCCTTTGCTCTTTCCTTTCTTGCCTTTTCCTTTGCCATAGCCCTTGAACCAAGAGCTACAACCATTCCATGCGTTCGACCATCCACTCCAACTGCCTTTCCCACTCTTGCCTTTCCAGCCTCCTTTTCCTTTCGACTTGCCCTTTCCTTTCACGGCCGCATTGTCAACCTCCATAGGTGCAACTCCATTGGCATCGTTCTGCACGCTGCCAAGTGAATGGGTTTTCGATGTTGGTGCAACATTCTTCAATGCGTCTGTCAGAGACCATGCTCTCGTCGACCGTTCATAACCAAGAACCTTTTCTCTCACCTCAGTCTGTTGTCCCTTCATCAACTGCAAGTGTCATTATACTCCTCCAACTTATACCGCAACTCCATGGAAAACTCTCCATACCCACTCTCAGGCAACAACTCCACCACCGCTTCCGCATCACTCCAGAGGACATACAGCTTGCTGCCGTCTCGTAGGATTCTTCAACTGTGTCCCCCAACAACGACTGGTCGACGCCATCATCAGCCTTTGTTCCAAATGGCAACTACAACACGACACCACCACTCTCACCATTGACGTTCACTCCGCCGGCAATCTTCAACAGTCCCACATTGGACGCCATCGCAAACATCACCCTCATGCTCACTCTAGACACCGCTCACATCCCCAGTATCGTTCAGCAAGCCCTTCACACATGCATTTTACAGGCATGAAACACATACTTTCTCCGGCGCTTTGCGAAGCCGCAATCACCCTGGCCAAACACACTTGGCAAGAAGCATACCACACCTTCCTCTCCCAACCTTCCCTTCACCTCTTCAACGCACGATACGTCGACAACCGGAACGTTCTCTACAACAAACAACTCCATGGCACCCTACCGCTCCTCACCCTCTCACGCCCAGACTTCTACGGACACCCCGTAGAAATTGAGCCTGTGGAAGGCAATCACGTATTGGGGTTCCACATGATTCCACATCAATCCCACAGCACGCGCAGTCACTTTCCAGCTACCAGCCCACCCTTGGCAAACCAGAGATTCCTACCAGGCAGCCAACGTCTACTCGTGTCACGACTTCAATCCCGGTCACACTCCATCCGCAAGTACTCTTACCTGGCCTCCACATTGCTGAGAGCTTACAGGCATTAGCACACCTCACAGAGAGACTTTGCTTCGCAGTGCATCAAACAAACAAGCGTCCCACTTTGCGGTCCGCGCGTACCATAACTCAACATTTCCCTCTTCGTGCGCAACCACCTTGCTACCATGACTGACACTGTTGTTAGCAGCGCCGATACGGCTCGTTGTGTGTGTGTGTAACCCTTGGAATCACAGGGAACCCTTCGGTTTGGAGCAGGGGGACGGGACACCGCTGGCATTTCCCGTCCAACGAAGAGGGTGCCAGTAGGTGCTGATGCAGTGGGGGAGGCCCCACAGTGTACCTGCGCTATTTAGGAAAAGAGGAGGAAATGGTACTCGCGCTTGTGCGTCGGTGCCTTCCCTTCTGTTTTCCTCTAGTCTACTCTATAGGTTTGCAGGTAGGCCCCCCAACCTTGTAACGAGGATCTTTAACCCGAACTTTGGCCTCTACCCACTAGATTGGCCCCCAACCTTGGCTGTCTTGTGTTTCTTGTGCTTCTTGTGTTTCTTGTAACCTGGTAGCACTGGCCTCCACCTTGGTACCCTGGCCTCCAACCCACTAGCGACGACCTCCAACTTTGCTTCTTGCTGTCACTTTCTTTTGCTTTGGTTTGCTTGTGTCTACTACCTACCACCTACTAGCGACGGCCTCTAGGAGTCGGGCCCCAACGGCCTTGCGATGGCCTCCAACAAGAAAGCGATGGCCTGTAACCATCTACTTGTCATTTCTGTCGCGCTTGTGCCTATGGTCCACCACCTACTAGCGACGGCCTCCAACCTTAGGTCTTGGCCCCCAACGGCCTTTCGCTGGCCTCTAACCACAAGGCGATGGCCTTTAACCTACTATTTGCCCTGGCACCTCAGGCTTTAAAAAACTTAGGCTGGCGTGTGGCGCCGCTGTCGAGTCAGTACACCAAATCATAAGCGTGTCTCTCCTAGTGAGAGCCCGGGATGAGCCTGTCAAGACTTGAGAGATTATTGAATTCCAAGATGGCCCATGCCTTTACGTGACCGAAGCGACCAAAGCTTGTTCCAGGTTCATTGGAACCTGTCGAGAACTTAGCCCCCTTCCTCCCCCTTCCCTCCCCTCCCCTCCCTTCCTTCTTTGCCTATATTGGGGTTTTCCTGAATGGAATACTCAGGATCACTCCTCTCTCTCACTGGTGTGTCCCTGGACGTTTGTTCGTAGCTGGGAACACCTGCCTTTTTCCTTCCCTTTTTCTCCCTCTCTCTCTCTCCCGCTCTCTTTCTCTCTTTCTTTCCTCTCTTGGGTGTCCCTGGATGCTTTCGTCATAGCTGGGAGCCCTTCCTTTTTGGTGTGTGTCCTTGGACGCTTGTGTCGTAGCTGGGAGCACCTTTGCTTCCTTCCTTCTCTCCTTCTCTTTTCTTCCTCCCCCTCCCCCCTCTTTCCTCGCGCGCGGCGTGTTTACAAGCAAGCTAGGCTTCTGCAACAGGTTCCTCAATGAGGTTTGGACTGTCATCGGTTTGTCCCCTTTCATTTGGTTCCCCTTTCATCGGCCCCCACAGACTTCTTCCCTTCTTTTCTTTCATGTCTTTCTGTCTTCATGTCTCTTCATCCTCATCCTTTCTTTCTCTTGCGCGCACTATCGTCCGGACCTTAGTTTGTACACATACACGCACGCATATTCTAATTAGAACGAGGTTCAGGTGGCCCAGGTTTGTTACAATGAGGTTTGGTTCATCGGTCTCTTTCATTTTCATCTGTCTCTTTTGCGTGCACATGTGCTTTGCCTCCTTTCCGGGCAGGATGCCTCCCTTCGGGGAGGCGTGTGTGTGTAGCCCTTGGAATCACAGGGAACCCTTCGGTTTGGAGCAGGGGGACGGGACACCACTGGCATTTCCCGTCCAACGAAGAGGGTGCCAGTAGGTGCTGATGCAGTGGGGGACGCCCCACTGTGTACCTGCTTTGCTATTTCGGAAAACAGGAGGAAATTATACCTCTCCTTCTGTTTTCCTCTAGTCTACTCTATAGGTTTGCAGGTAGGCCCCCCAACCTTGTAACGAGGATCTTTACCCCGAACTTTGGCCTCTAGCCACCAGATTGGCCACCAACCTTGGCTGTCTTGTGTTTCTTGTGCTTCTTGTGTTTCTTGTAACCTGGTAGCACTGGCCTCCAACTTGGTACCCTAGCCTCCAACCCACTAGCGACGACCTCCAACTTTGCTTCTTGCTGTCACTTTGTTTTGCTTTGGTTTGCTTGTGTCTACTACCTACCACCTACTAGCGACGGCCTCCAACCTTAGGAGTCGGGCCCCAACGGCCTTGCGATGGCCTCCAACAAGAAAGCGATGGCCTGTAACCATCTACTTGTCATTTCTGTTGCGCTTGTGCCTATGGTCCACCACCTACTAGCGACGGCCTCCAACCTTAGGTCTTGGCCCCCAACGGCCTTGCGCTGGCCTCTAGCCAAAAAGCGATGGCCTTTAACCTACTATTTGCCCTGGCACCTCAGGCTTTTTAAAACTTAGGCTGGCGTGTGGCACCGCTGTGAAGTCAGTACACCAAATCATAAGTGTGTCACCTCCCGTCTTTAGGGACACTGCTCCTACTACCCTTCTACCTCTATCGTCCAGCAGCAGGGGGCACCGGAGGTGCTGATGAGATCGGTGCTAACAAAGACGCTCATCAGTTACCTGTGATACAGTTGGAGACGTCCAACTGCGTACCTGCAATTTGAATCTTTTGCTGATGTAAACAATATGGTTCAGCAGACCTCTTCGCCTGTCTGTTCTTCGCAGGTCTAGTCTGGTATTGCAGTAACTAACCTTAAAGTGCTAATGCTCACAGCGCATCTCTGAACTTCAGCTCTCTCGAGCACAATTCTGAAGTGTGTGTGTGTGTGGGTGGGGAAGTAATAACGATCGTTTGCACGACTTTTGTTAGCTACGTCCGAATGTCGGACGGGGACGCGTCTGTTTTGTCTCTTGTGTTGGTTTTGGTGGACGCGTTGTACATGGACTGATTGGTTGAAGCCTTGACGTCTCCGGTTGATCCTATTGCTTTGTTTGCTCAGGAAACAGTTTTGTTGGAAGATCATTTTTTTGCTTTTTCTGAGCTACCTTTTTGTCTACCGTTACTTTGGCCTGTGTGGTGTTAGGTGTTTTCGCGCTCGCTGAAGACGCGATCATCATCTCTTGCTATTTTGTCGTCAGCTGCCTTTGTTCTGTAAGGGCCTACCAACGAGGCCGCCGGCCAACTGTACAGGCCCACACAGGCACCGTTGTTGCTCTGTGGAAATGTTTGAAAGAACAAGTTCCGACTTCGTTGTGCACGCGGGTAAAGACCAAGGAACTCAGCCCTTTGCTTCTCCACCACACTCGGCAATTCCAATGAGGATATTAGCACACAAATCGGAACTTACTCAAAAAGACAGGGCAACCGATGTACGTAAACATGGAGAAAAGAAACTGCTGATACCTTCAAAACAACATATCAGATCTTTTGGACTCAAAACTCAGGTTTTGTGCGTTTCGACATCATAAACTATAAATGAAGGAACATATGTAAAGAGTATATACCTCACTGGCCTGCGTGGTTAATTTGAAGTTCTTTTTCACATAAAGGCCGGTTGTCACCCTTGTTCTTCATACTCTCTTTACTCTCCATGTTGGGAGCCCGGAACTGGGAGGAAAGAGCTCACCATTCACAAATTCACAAATATCCACAATCTGGTTGCGATAGCGTGTCTGGCTTTTGCCGCTGCCGGTCGACATTGCGGTGACAGAGCCCGGCATCTTTAATACAAATTGACCTTGCAATCAACTTGCCACAGCTTGCTACGGTACTTGGGCCCTGTGTTGCCATGTTGCCAAGCTCAGCAAGGCACAGCCATGCTTGTTGTATATTGACATTTCCCGCCTCCTCTTGAACCAGGTACCAGCAACAGGCTGTTGGCTAACAGGCATCTTGCAAGATCCCAAAATAAACACGAGCAAATGAACACCACTTCTTAGTCTTGGGCACAAATATCTACATGCCTCAAAATGCTCGAAAGTCTTTGCCGATGCCTTCTTGAAGAGGAAAGGCACTTTTGATCCATTTCTCACAGGATGTCACCTGCTTCAGTGAAACATTCTAAATCATTCCATGCCCATTTTTTGGCCTGGAGGCATGAAAAGCACGTCGTCCTTGAGCCACGTCCTAAAACCTAGCTACACCTAGTTCTCCCACCCAGTTCAACGAGGTCGAAACCATGCGGCTGCTACACCTAGCTGCCACCCCTTTGGCACGCTCTGGCAAGCTGTCGCTGCACCAAGGTGCGGAAGTCTTGAGCAAAACACAACATGAAACAACAACCATGTAAAGCTACCAACACTGGCTCACTAGCTACAAGTCAAATCCCACAAAAGCTACTAAGCGTCACTACTAAAATGTACAAATACAACAGTACAACACTTCTCAACTGGTCAGCTTAACCTGACCACTTCAGATCTCTGTGAATCCTGTTCCAAAGGGCACAACCGGGCACAGCCAGCGCATGGTGACCAAAGAGGGTCTCCATGAGCTCACGTGGCTTGCGGCTTGCACTTCGCTGCACTTCTTTCATCCTTCCAGACATCCTTTCCAATTCCACCTCTTTCCATCGTCATCTTCCATTTTCTTCTTCCGTCTTACATCACATCTTCTTCCGCTGTCCTCCCGGTGTAAGCAGGTCACAAGCTTCTCGCAGTGATTGTAATCATCCTCAAGCGGTCAAGATATGCCCAAATACTGTGAATCACATGTAAATCACATGCAAACGACATCTTCAGTGATGTTCTTTGTCACGAGTCCGTCTGGCTACTCAGCTGATGTTCAAGCGCCCTCGAATCGGTTGATTGACGAAGCTTGACCATTCATTGAAAGACATGCCAAGCGCCGAACAAAGGCTTTGCTGTCCGAATAAAGACTCGCGCAAAAGTCTTCGAAGAGTCAAAATTCTATGCAGGAATCCTTGGGATCCTGAAGCAAAAGAGCCAACAGAGAAGAACCATCTCAAAAAGATGCCTAAGAACAGCAAGTGCACCCGCTTAGCGTTTTGAAGGTGTCCTGCAGATTTGGCACTTGTCCCAAATCTGCGCAAGGCCTTGGGCTCAAAGTAGCAAGTGCAGTGCTTGGCACTGCCACCTGTTCTCTGTATCGTTGGCTATCTCTTCTTGAAACTGAGAACAACGCTTTGAAGGCGCCAAGACAGGTCCTGCAGCAAAAAGAGGATAGGTCAAAAGACACTTGGTGTGTTGAGCATCTTTGAGCGGCTTTATTATCTCTATTTTTGTGGAGCGGGTCCTCACCACAGATTTCAATCATTACCGCCTTGCAGCAAGCTGTTTCAGAGACTCTGTTGCCCAGAATGATCCGAGAAGGCTTAGCAATTTTCCAGCTGCCAGGTGAGGAACAGCCACGTTACACATATGAACACTGCGCTGCAAATATGCTTGGAGATGCAGTATCAACGCCTTATGACTGGAAAGCGAATGAAATTCTTGTGGTTGTGACGATTTCTACTTCGAAACAGAAAACCACTTCAAAATAAAGGTCGGAAAGCAGAAAAGAAAGCAGACAGGTATCTTCACCTCGGTGAAATCATAAAATTCCCGTATCTTCACCTCATCGCATGTCAGTCTGCCGGTGCCTCGGAGTGCCCCATCGCAAGAACCTTAGAACAACACGACAAGAATCGAGCATTATTACATTGCATGTATTACATCGCATGCAAATGGCCTATGACATGGATTACATGTTCCTGACACTGACACTGATGATTTGGCGTAATATAGCGCAAAAGAAAACACGTGTGTGAATAAGGCGTGTTGAAAGATATGGACAAATGCCTTGTCAGATCGGTGTAACCTTGGCGAACAGTTCGGCAGTTCGTGCTGTCTGAGGGTGAGCCATTGGGCTCACTGGAGCCGAAAGGAATTGGTATGGCGCCCACATAACAAGTCTACAAGTGCCATGCAAGTGATGTAAGTGATGTAAGACTTCCTCAGGATATCTTCACCCCTGGGACAGTGCATCCAACAGCATCCAACATTTCAGTATGAAACATGAAGCAAACATGGTTAGAGCAAGGCTTAAGTGTCCACATTGTCAAGGCACAACTTCCCACTTTGATTCCGCCAACCGCCGGAACCGCTGCAACTGCTGCAATTGCGCACCATATTCTTTGGGTGAGCCATCTCTGTGTACCCAGAAGGGTTGTGAAAACGCAACAGACTTCATCTTAAGATATCTTAACACGAGAGCTCTGTTTTTTGAATCTGACCATCTCTTTAGCACTGTAGCCTTCTGCAGCGTGAAAGCACCAGGCCCAACATGCACTCGTGAAACTGAGCCCCAGTAAAGCAAAGAGGGAAGCTGAAACAAAGCTTGCTGTATACGACAGTTGTATGAAACCCAGAATGGAAGATTGAAATTGGACGTGATCATCTGCGATACTGCAGCCTATGACCTGAATCACTCAAAGGTCGGTTACAAAGATTGGAATGGAGCGATTGGAGCATGGGTGCCATGTCAGGCTTTGCAGATTGAAGCAGTCTGCCAAGCCCGTTTGTTGCCCCAAATATTGTGAAACTCAAAAGTTTGCAGGAAAAACTATTTCAAGCATCCTTTCTTTCAAGAAGCCTTGTCAATCTTGAAGTTCACTGGCTTAGTTGCCAGGAGCTTCTCTTTGGAACGCAGCCCATCCAGCACAGGCTAGCGGCTAGCTCTCCACAAAGGATTCGCTGCTCATCCTACACATGGCCCAGTGATACATGCTACAAAATGCAAGAAGTAGCAAGAAGTGGCCAGAAGTAGCAAGAAAGTAACGAAGTGTTGGTCTGCTGCTCTGACACGGTATCGTCTAGTCTAGCCTGCCTTCAGCCAAAGTCAGAACCATACTTCGTGGCATACATGGGAAACTGATGACAACGGCAAATATGTAGGGCCCCATGCGTGCAAATGACAAAGGCAAAAACGAAGGATGGCTCAGTGCCTCTGCCCCTGCTGCTCCCGCGAGCGGATGGCATTCCAGCTGCACCAGCCGGACTCGCTGCCTCAAGCACTTTACCGCTTTGATGCACAAGAATCCTATCTGAAAGACCATCTCAAATTCTCACCACACAAAGGCAGAAAACAGGTAGGACACATCTGAAAAACATATGAAGAAAACATGTCGGTCTTTTGGGCATGCGCTCAGGGCATCACCCGGCCCTGCGGCGTTCGGCCCCTGCCACGGTCTTGACTAGGGTTGCGCCGAGGACTGCCATCTCGCACCTAAAATCAAACGTCCAAAAGAAATGTCTTGCCGAATTCAAATCGAGATCGGATTCAAAGGCTGCGAGTCGCAACGATGTCAAAGGATCGCCCTCGTTGAAGCTTTGGTTCTGAAGTGTCAAAAGCATGCCTGGATTTGCTGAAACATTCAAAATTGACAGGTCACTCCCACTGCATCTCGACTGGGTTGTCGCTGCAAATCCCTGACATCACTTTGGCAGTTCGAAACGTTTGTTGCAAATCAGTTTCACCCTATTTCACTCATTTGTTTCGACAGAGACAGGCCACCGTCGAGCTCACATGAAAACATTTTCGCCATTCTCAATGCGGCATATCCTTTATTGCTGATTATATAACCAAAAAACATAACAGGATTCCTTCACCGCCAGGATGCAAAGCGTCGGACAAATCGAATGAATGAAGCAGAACTTGGAACACCCTGGTACGGCTATGTTTTGTGATGTTTTGTGTATTTTGCTGGCATGCTTTGCAGGGGAAGTGTGGGGCATAGTAAAGCTATGTAAAGCTAGACGACAATTGGCCCGGGAGCGTCGAAGCACGGCATATAAGTTCTGTTGTTGTTCAGCATGCGTATAGTTTGTATCAGTGCGTGTGGGTCCCGCATCTTCTTATATACTTGTCCCATGGTCCGCAGGTGTGTGCACTACACCTGCGTTTCGTATCTTTTCGTTTCCCAATGGCACGGAGCCGCCCCAACACACTTTCCACCGACCGAGGCCGCGCAAAACCGCATGGCACAGCGACGTGACAGACGCAATTTTGTCACACAGTGTGCGACAAACTAGATTGACTAGATACAACAATCTAACACCAAGCCTCGGGGGGAAGAACCCTTCGCAAACACTCCCGGGAAATATGTTTGTCTGCAGGTCGTGCATACTATAAACAACGCTCAATATCAAGGATCTTCTTTAAAATCGCACATTTGGCCGCCATGTATTATTCTCCACCCACCAATTTTATTCTTGTTGTTGGCGTTCTTGCCTATCTTGTCCTTGTCGTCGTGGTGGTCGTTGCTGAGGGTGCTTGTGAAATGGACTTGACTTGGCATTGTAGCTGCTACCAGTAGAAGCACTCCAAAGTCAAAGGATAGAAACGTGACCTGAACTTGACCATGAATTGAATATGAATTGAATGCATTTGACCAACTTTTGGACGTTGAGTTTCACTTGGATTTCTCAACGTTTCCATTGTCTCCTGCGCTGGTTCCGCCGTGCCTCTTCTCGCTGGGTGCCTTTGGCTTGCTGGCCGGGCTGCTAGCTCCAGGTGGCGGCCTAGGCACAAACACCAATACCACGACACATGACGATGCCAACATGGCCCAACCACTCAGGTCTGCATAGGTCGAGTGCATCGGTCTGATGTCTTTTTAGAAACGAGTCCAAGTCTATTTGAGAAAAATTGTTTAGGTCTAAGTTATCTAACTTAACTGCCAAGTGTCCCACGCGGTTGGTCAGAGGTTGACAAGCCCAAAGTTCCACTTTAGACTTTAGACACTGTCAGAGATTGCGCTCTAAGATGAGGGCTTTCCACCATTCGCCTTAAGATGGAAAAGAATGCTGCCACAAGCCACAAGCGAGGATGCAATGAGCCAAGAACATGAGAGCGTTTCTGAAAACCTTGATGAAATCCCATGCCGTATCATTGGGCTTACGCTTGTGCTTACGCTGCCTTACGCGACTCACATGTTTGCTTACGCGGTACACTTGGAGCAAGAAGGGCTTACGCAGACCTTACGCGACGCCTGTTTTGCACGAAATGCAGCTGACACCACAACGCGAGCTTACGCGCTGCATACTTTGTACAATGGACATTTACTACGTTACTACCGTTACTACATCTAATCTTCGGATATGGATGCTGAAGAAGCATTTGAGGATGAGGACGAAGAAGAAGGCTCGAAGGCAGAAGCAAGCAAGCAGCAGCAGCAGCACCAGCAGCAGTAGCAGCAGCAGACCTGCAGCAGCAGCAGCAGCAGGAAATGGAGAAGTGGAAGTGGAAGGGCGATGCGCGCAAATCACATTGTATATAGAGGTCTTCAACCACACGCTGCCGCTGACGCAACGGTTTCGGAGAAGGAGGCATGTGGGCTACTGGTGGAAAAGGACACAGGAGCTTACGCGGAGCTTACGTGGAGCTTACGCGCGGCTTACGCGCCGGAACTCACAAAAATCACCTGGTGTTTCTCATGTCTGACATGGAGGTTTGACTGTTCAGCTGTGGTGTTTGGACTGTGTGTGTTCAGCAATTCGAGTTTGGATTGTGTATGTATGTGTGGAGTTGGACTGTTCCTTAGTCCTAGCACTTCTGAGAGGGGTTGCTCATGTATTTATCATGTATTTATTCAAAGCTTACGCATGGCTTACGCAAAGGGTTTCCTTACAAAAAGCTTACGCAACCTTACGCACGTGCAGGTTTTGCTTACGCACTTCTTCGATATGACAACACACTGATTAAACATGAAGACGGAGGTTTATCGAATGGCTGAATGAGTTTCCGCTTTCAATAGGATTTCTCAAATCCAAAGTGCGATTGCACCAATTGCAAATGGTCAGGGAAAGGTCACAGAACAAACTTGAAAATCCATGGAAGAACCGTCTGGATACACAAACCATCTTAGATAAAAATTTATTCAGCACATTTTCTATCATTTTCTGCTAGCTGTGAGCTCCGCAGGAGCTGCCGGAGCCGCAGGAGTCGCCTGGCAATGCGAAAATAAGAGGTTCTTCAAAAATGCTGTTCAAGTGATACACGTAAAGCATGTCCAACATATTCCACCATGGCAGTATGATGTGAATCTGGAAAAGCATTAGGGGCAACACGGGCAGGAATGTCCTATGCATGTGGAAACCACGCTGGAAAGCTAAGAGCAAGGATAGCAGAACATAGCAAAACCAAGAAGGCAGCTTCGAGTCATACCATGAAAGACGGCATAGGTCTAACATGGTCAAACTATCCGACCTGTCCAAGCTATTCGTTTAAGCTATATAAATGGTTGGTTCAGGCTAGATAGTCGTTCGAGCTGTTGGTTCAGGCAATTCGATGATGCTCGTTCAAGTTTGTCCTTCAAGCAAGTCACTCAAACGGTTGGTTCAAACAGTTCTTTCAAATACTGGATCAAGTATGTTCAAGTTGGCCCTTATGCCCTTGAAACCAAATAGTCGTTCAAACTATTCGTTCAAACTGTTGATTCAGGCTAATTAGTCGTTCAAGCTAGTGCTCCAAGCTAGTCGAAACATTTTCAGTCATTTCAGCCCCTGAAGGCCCACTTGAGGCCCGTACGGTATGCCGAGGCCGCACTTTTGCACCCTGAATCTGGCGGCCAGGATGAGCATTCCAAAAGCCACGCACAATCCTCAAAAACTGAGCCTTTTTGAACGGAATCAAGAACAACTGCATGTCACGAAAATGCAAATTATCACTTTGTTGTTTTCCGGCCAAGAATGTAAGTCTTAGCTGAAACGAATAACATATGCTGAAGTGAAGAAGGAACCTCCAAAGAGATCCATACACCTGGTTTCACATTCAGCTGGACGCGGCCTCGGCAACGTTTGCAGCTGTTGGTCGTTGACTCCTTTCTACTGCGTACATCTGGAACAAATTTGATTGATCTTGAATTTTCGGTGCTTTACCACAAGAATTGGAATGACGTAGTTATGCCAAAAAACCATCATCATTGCTCGCGGTCACTGTCGCAGGGAGCCTGAAAGGACCGTCAAAACTGAAAGACATGTGAAACAGTACGGTGAGAGAAAAAACGCAGCACCCAACAGGCACAGCAATGGCAAACATCACCAACTTTTATTGTGTGCGGGTTCAGGGACCATTCACCGTGCGTCTCGCTGTAGTACTCTACCAGCTCGTTCTTGCTGTATTTCCCAGCGTAGCCTGCTGCTGCTGCTTTGCAAGTTTGTAGGGTGTACGACACGATGTACGACAATGTCTGACCTTATCGGAACACATGATAGTGAAGATGAACATGAACATATCGGAATATTCCAACGGCTCCACCGAGCAGCTCACTTGCATTCGGAGAGTTCATTGGATAGGGAACTTGGCCCGACACACTCAAAATGTTGATCTCCACAACTCACTGTGTTCGATGTGGAACAACATGCATGGGTCTTTCACCATCAAATACGACGCCCAAAGTTTCTCCTTGCTGCGTGGGTGTGGCGGGTTTGAAACCAAAATCGCAATGGTTTGGTATGTTTTGGTTGCGCCGTTATGCTAATAGGCACTTTAGTACCCAATGGCATTCAAAAGGTGCGAATATTCCGACTGCTGTTTCGTCTCACTTTCATTCGAGGTCTGCCTTGGATAGGGAACTTAACGCAGCCCCGGTCAAGATGTTGATATCAAAACAACTCACTGCGTGTCCGATGTGGGCCTACATGCATGAGTCTCTCACCTTCACAAAGGACGCCCAGAGCTTTCTCTGCCCACTGTCGCGAGGGTATTCGAGGGGCGCGTCGGAATGTAAGCCCGCTGCTCCAGGCGCCAATCTGAAAAGCCGGAGCGGGTGGACTCTCCCAACACGCCTGGATTGGGAGGAGTCCCGAAGTGGCACCTAAGCCAGCGAGTGGGGCGTAGAAGTTCCTGGCTGAACTCCACACAAGGTTTGAAAAGGAGTCGCGTCACGTCCTTGGGGAATCCGAAGGGTGGACCCAGAGAAACTGACCAGCCTGCAGAAAATTCAGCCCTGAGCATGAGCCAGTCCTCTGAGAGCGGGTTGCACGCCGGCTTTGGACAGCGAAGATGAAGCCCGACACACTTCTTATGGAGAACGTTGAGGACAAGCAGTTTCCGCCCCTTTGCTTACAAGGTATGAAGATCACTGGCAAAGCTCACGAGCCCCATGGAACTTTCGCTCGAAGTGAGGGGGGGCGACCTCTCCTTCCTCCGCTTCACTGGCCGAACTCCGCCACTTCGTGTGCTCCCAAGAGCCGAGGCTGAGCTACCTGGGGTCGAATAACCGCCGGAAAGAGCACCCAAAGTGCCCGAGGTGTTCAAGTGGGCCTCCCCTTCGTCAGCTCGATGACCTCGCTATCTCTACCCTGGCCCAAGCTCCGAGCTTCGCTCTACTCGAGGGCCAAGAAAGCTTCTTCTTCCGATCTCTTGGCCCCGGATCTGCCAGCTTCATGGGAAGCATGCCGCCCGCGTCTAGCCCACTCGGGATCAGTTGTCATAGTCTCGTGAAAGCGCTAGGGGGTCTGGGTCTAATAGCTGTCCATGTGCCAGGCTTGAAGCCAAAAGGATCACGATTCGCATATGCTAATCACTTTAGTACCTTAAGGGCACAAGATATGAATCAGAATGAGAGTTATGAAATTGTTCGAATGCAATGACATCAAACACAAAAGTTCTTGTGGTTCGGAACGACATGGCAGCTCACAATCCAAGAATGCAATCATGAGAGGCGCACTACCATAGGGTCCAGCCACAGATGCAGGAGCACCTGCTAGTCTTTAAGGAAACACCGAAGTAGATGACTGAAGACAAGTTCTGAAGTAGAAAACTTGCAAATACAAAAACCTTTAAACGGCACATGTAAACATACGAAAACACGTAAACACTTGCAAGAACACGTTCAGCCATGAATTGAATAACCACTCAGGAAGCCCAACAAGTGGCAACTAGCTTTGAGAAGGAAAAAAAACTGGAGAAAAACAGCTAGCATCGTTACCCTGTGCAGCAAGAATTGCCAATTGCAAACAGGCACAACAGCAAAAATTAGGACTCAATGCCTGCAGGATTCAAATTCTATCTGCAGGTGTCTCTGTGAGCTAAGCACCATCGGCTGGAGGTGGTGCTGGTGGCGCAGGTGGCACTGGTTTATCGCCTTCCTTTCATGTGCAAAATCTCTTGGGAGCTCTGGCATTGTCTGCCTACATGTACCCGTCGAAAGCTTCAAATCTCAGCTAAAACTGTTTGAACATTTGAAGATAAACACGATAATCACATCATCGAACATCATCATCTCATTGACATCATCTCTCTATATCTCTTATATATATATATATTATACACATATTTTGTCGTACCATCGTGGCAATTGCTATCTTGTGAATCTCCATCTTTGTCTCTGCGCAAGTCCTCGTCGCCTTTCACTTCATCTAGCATCCTCAGAGGTTTAACCGGCAGATCTCCAAACGAATTCATTGTCACCAAAAGTTTCAAATATATGTAAACATATGATAAAGTGTCAAAGGGATTCAAAGGGGTTGTCATAGTGGACGCAGAAAGACTGTGCGCTGCCTTCTCACCATCTCCTGAATCACAGGCCGCTTCAGAATTTCAGCCTCAGGTGGCTAGTTAGGCAGAACTCAAAAAGAAGATGCTCAAGTTCTTAAAAATGGCCGTGAAATCACATTTCAATGGCACCAACGAGAAATCTCGCGAAGCTATGATGGAAGTATCAGGGTTTCAATTATCCACGTGCCTTTTGTAACAGCTCCCCAAGAGGAAAAGGACGGCCAACAGAGCTATCGACAGCTGCACCCCAAATTAGCTAAGCTTCAGCAAGCATTCAGATCTCTGAGATTCAAGCTGCCGGTGGCCTTTTGTTGGGATCTCTGTCCAACAGCTCCTGTGATGCCCCAGTACTTGCCAGGCCCAAGCAAGCGACGCCATGCAACGACACATTTTGACCACAGTAAGCAAGAAAACATGTTGCTAAAGATCCGTTTGAAAACACCCGTTGCTTTTGCAATTGTATCTGATGCATCATCTGCTCCTTTACGTCGCACGATATTGCACTTTTCTTCAATGTCTTGCCCCAACAAAAGTTTCAAGTTGTATCTCCCAGCCTTCCCAAGACTTCTTACGCCAACTCCATAGTCTGAAGGAATCTGGCCGCTTTGCCACTTGGAGGAAAAAGAAACCAGTTGGAGGCCATCTCTATTAGGTTGGAGGCCATTGCTAGGGTTGGAGGCCATCGCTAGTAGGTTGGAGGCCATTGCCATTGCTATTATGTTCCTCATATTGCACATCTTGGGCGATGTCCCAGTTTTCTCATTCAGCAAGTGAGGCACAAGCAAGAAGATCAAGAAGCATCAAGAACCCATCGTGACCAAGCAATGACAAGTGAGGAAACATGATATAGAACACATTTTTCTTTAAAACAAGGTCTGGCCTCTGGTGCCTGTTCTTTAGTGATTCGATGAATCAAGCTTTTCCTCAGCGATTCTGATCTCTAGGTCAAGGGAAGAAAGCAGAACAAAGAAAACCAGCAAGACCAACACCTTCACACTTGTGTGCTGTGAAACCCCAACGCGCGACAGCTGTGCCCCGCTGCAACCAAGCATCAGGTCTGGTGCATCAAATGGCACTTTCCTGCGCCGAGTGAGGCTCTCAGTTGAGTTAAGCCCGCTCAAATTGCGTTGCATTTTGGGAGATTGCGCTCCTGGCACACATCTCGTAGAGGATGCAGCCCATACTCCAAATGTCAGAGCTCCAGGCATAATTCTTGCCTGTACGGCAGCATATCAGTAAGAAGAACGTGCAGAAATTTACACAAACGACCTGATGTCCACTGGCTTCCCTGTGAGCACGTTCTTTGCAAAACAGTTTGCTTGTGCATTCTGTCCATTCAATGCTCTTCATGTCCAGTTTATCCAACCTTGACAAATCTCCGGTGAAAGGTAGTATGGCCTAAAGCGAACCGAACTTGCAAATAATCAGTTGACACAAAAGCAATATCTGACAACGTCACATGTTTTTGATTCTCGGATCCTCCGTGCTAGTCACATCATGATTCCTGGCAAACCGTAGTATTCAATCATTTTGAAGCCAAGCAACTCCTACAGTAGTTTATTTCGGTTTCCAATAATATGTTTTTAAAAGAAAATCTTACCAGCTGGCTATGGCTCAAAATTCCTAGACAAAGGGACCACAGATTCTGTTCATGTTTGCCTTGGGATGATGAACACTTTTGAGCCATAGCCAGTAGTTGATATCTCATATGATCTCTATGGGTACAGTAGATTCCTGTTGATACTCTAAGCTCGAGGCGTGCCGATCTGGGTTTGTGCACACGCTGCGGTGCACTCCAGCACCTGCCACCACATTCCGCAAGGTGGACATCTTTAAGATTCCGAAATCGTGAAAATGACCGTCTCGTGGAGAATATGAGCATTCAGTTGGAAAGGCAAAATCAGAGCAGGACTAGAGAAGGACAACAAAAAACAACTAATGACATTTCGTTTTGTTTGAAGCCTGTTGAGTCTATTGACCCAAATATTTTTCCTGGGTTCTTAGGACAACACTTAGATCCCCAAAGAACCCCCAAAGATCCGCAGAATATCCACAGCGTGACTTGATCGTCACTGCGAATCAGCCTTGGCGATGCCGAAGTCGCCCATTTTGATATTTCCTAAAACAAACAAACAAATCTCAAACAGGACATCTTCTAACAAAAGTCACGAAACATTTTGAAATGGGTGGAAAAAAAGCATGACGGTAAAAAGACAAACAATGACAGAAAAACGCTCTGCTTTGAAAGATCACAGGTTTTGATGTCAATTTATTATTATGTTGGACATGCAATAACACATATCACAAAAAGTTCTCGAAGGCACAGACTGCACACGCTTGATGGCAATGAATGGGCGATGAACGGTGCTTGATATTCTTTCAGGACAGGACCACTTTTGGATAAGAAGAAGTTCCCGGACTTCAGATCTCTATGAAGAATGTGGAGATCATGGATATACTTCAGTGCCAAGATAGCCTGCCAGATCAATGCTGGAACGCTTACCACAAAAAGATGTCTTATGATTCAACATGTTTCAAAAGACTTCTGTGGCATATGGCAATCGTCAGTCTGACATACTTGACTTGGATGTGGCCTGAGTAAACCATCGCACGACCTGATCTTGTGGAAAGATTTTGGAAGACGACCTGCCCAAAAGACTTCGGAAGCTGTTGGGCTGGGTGTGGGTCTGAAACGGTGTTGCATTCCAGGTATCTTCTTCTTTTGGCATGGTTTAATCATGAGGCTCTTGTTATGTCAAACACCTTCAATCCTCTTGTTTCTGCTACGACATTCGGTCGAGAACAGTACTACCCACGAAGAGTGGGCAGCATCTATGGTTTCAACTTTGCCACGGAAATGCACGCTTCAACCAATCTTGTCATATCTTTCCTCTTCACAAATGAAACACTTCTTGCATGAAGAACTCAGCTGCAACGTTGCAAAGGCTCCGCCCACCTTGCGCTCTTAATCTTTCCGGCCAGGTCGCCACCCTCACAGTAGTCCATGACGATACAAAGCCATCCGTCCTGCCCAATCTTCGCAGAAACCATTGAAATTGCAAAAAACAAATCATCCTTGAAAAACCTGGGAAACCAATGCAAAACAATCAAACTCACCCTTGAAAAGCCTGAGGACAACCATTGAAACATGCAGCATTCATTGTTCGCAATGTTTTTTCCGTGTGGAGCAAAAAGCACAAGCCACCTCATGGAAGCTCTCTCTATACCTCACAATGTAAGGGTGCTTCAAGGACGCTAGCACCTGCGCAGAAAGGCTGAGAAGGCGCTGGTTCAAATGCCCCACAAGACAAACCTAACCACAAAAATCATTTCAGTAGCGGGCTTCGTTGAAGGTACTTCGCATGCAAGTATCCCAGATATTTTCAATGGGGGCTTTGATTGCGCCATGCCCCCCAAACTCTATTTGCTATTTTCTGATGCTCGACATACCAATGCAAATGATTGCAAAACGCAAGAGTGGTGGTGCCACTCTTAGGTTGAGGGAAACTCCGTATTGGGGCGAGAAAAGGAGGATACATTACCTGTCACCTAGAGGAGCAGCTGTGAATCCCTGACCACCTGATCACTAAGCACATGATGCTAGCGTGGATGTCTATCATTTCTTCATGTTCCTACAAGGTTTCTTCAAGCTGCTTCAAGCCTTGCTTTCTTTCAAGGCATCGTCCTTTTCTTGCTTGCTGGCACGACTGATGTCAATCATCTTTACAATTGCCTGCGATGCATTGGCAAAGCGCATCAAACATCACAAGATATATCACAGGTCTTCAAAGGAAACGGGAATTTCCTTGAACTCATCGGTTGCACTTGCTCCACTTGCTGCACTTGCCTTGGTGTCTCGTTCCTTTTCAGAATCGTGCTGGCAAAGAATCGCCGCGCCAAAAGAACCTTCTCCAACCTCATTGAATAGCAAATCACTTTCACGTGCACATCTTATTCAAGTCGCATATTTCACAAGCTAAGACCACTTTGTACTTTCTGAGACGGATTTTTGTCGAGATCTTTGTTGATGTCACACAAAATGGTAAATGCTTGCAGATTTCAGATTAGCCAGCCTTTTTGAGAAAATTGTAGTGGTGCTTACCTCAGCTTCACGGTCGAGTGGAGGACATAGCGCATCAGTTGCCAATTCCTAGGATCATTCACCTCCTATATACTTTGCACAGGTTCTTACATGTGTTTTCTGCTTGGAGCCCTATAGTACTTAGTAAGGCCTCCAATCAGCTAATCATAAAATATCGATGGTTCTTGGGTCCAGTTTCTTGACAGATGACATTTTCTAAAATTCCTTTTGCAAAACTCGTTCTGCATGTTTCACCATGTTCCGGCATGATTCTTCACAGTTTACAAAATGTCATATAGTTAGTCAGTCACAGCATGCGTCAGCATTTTCACTTCAAGTCGCTCAACGCATTCTGAATGCGTGCGTGCGCCATGGCTCCTTAGAGTCGCAAGCACATGTGAACAAACAGAAGCAACATGACGAAGGGTGAATCGTCTGAACCAGAAGCGGCTGACTCTCAAATCAACAAATCATCAAACACAATTCAAAAGTCGCGAACACTCAACACACACATACAAAATATATCAAAATATCATGTCATGTCGTTCTTTCACATAAACTCCAAGGGATATGACTTGTATGCATGCCTACCCATGCACACATTGATATTGAAACCACTCTCATCATCAGCCTGTTTCCTTCATGAACAAACTAAGAATCTATTGCACTCAACTTGTGTTGACTGCCTCGATGCATTCTACATGCCAATGCAAACATCAGGACCTGATATCTGCCTTTGAAGTTTGCTCCGTTAAGCTGCCAAAGCCGCCAAAGCCCAGGACGGTTTTCAAGCCCCGGTGTCTTGGTGGCACCAACTGCCCTTAAAAGGGCCCTACTACCTGTCCAACTACCTTCCCCTGCAGCCACACAAAGCTGGTGAACGTTCCACAAGTCTCAAGAATTGCCAGAATGGATTGATACCCTTCAAGCATAGCTCCAGAAATCGTCATACTGGAAATTTATTAAAGATCAAAATGCCAGTTGAAGTCGCTCTGTTCAAATGATGTTTTTCAACATGTTTGGAATGATTGAGTCCAACAAGTTTCAAGCATTTCCATTGCGACGTGCTCCACTTTTTTCCTTCTTGATTGCATCCTTCACAGTGTTTCACAACGCTCAAGGATACCTCAAAGTCACAGCCGACACCGTAGCTAGGTCAACTGGCAATGTGACTCACAGTGACCCTGCTTCAAAGAGCATCAACAGACTCAGTTCACCTAGCCCTGAGCACTCTTAGTATCCAGGTTTGCATTGCTGAGCCGCAGGCAAAGATTCCAACCTTGCATATTGGACTTGAAGAATAGCCCGAGGCAAACATCTTGGCCATGGCTATCAAACAGAATATACTGTTGATTTCTATGGAAGAACATTTTGATTCGTGTCCATGCTTGGTTTCGAGATTGTTTCCAGCTAGTCACCGCTTGATTTCTCTGGTCACACTCTCCTCCGAGCAACCGAGCCTTCCCCGTGGATACCGTTTGTTTCACAGATCCATGAGCCTCTGAATACATCTGAATACAATGTGTATATAAATAGAATCCAAATGAGGTCCACATCGAATCTCCAGTTTTGGAAAGCAAACTAGCACCAAAAAATGCAGAGGGTGCAGCTGGTCAATAGCAGGTGCGCATGCGACATCAATCCGCAGCTGCTGGCTGATATCTGCTGAGAAGAAGAAACTCATAGAACAGTCAGGTTCTTGAAATGGGTGAAGCACGATTCAGCGATCCACTATATAGATTCTGCAGGTGCCAAAATATGATAAACGTGTATCTACAAACACAACCACACTGCCAAGCGGATCAGGATTTGCTGTGTTGTTTTGCTCATGAGGAACAATCTGTTGGAGACCTGAAATGAAGGCCGCGTTTTTCAAAGTTTCCAGAACAACATCGAACAGTAGAAAAACTTGCAGTAAGGAGACATGCATTCTTAGAACACTGACTTTAGGTGTCACTGATAGCTACGTACAAACAACAGTTTTTTTCATGTTTTTTCTGGTTTTCAATGGTTCAAGGATGCTTTGCCAATACATGAGGCAAATCCGTGCAATTCAAGCATGCTTATGTTTTTCAGAGAAATGCATTTACCATAAAGGACACCATAGGCTCAGGATACAGATCTGGCTGAGAACTGACCCGTCCTGACACTCAGACTCACAACTGTTGTCGAACACGAGATCAAATGTTGCAACACTTTGTTTTACCCAGATCATGAACCCCCATGTCTCCATGACTGTGGACAAGACATTCCTCAAAGCGCGAATCATCGCTGTCCGGAGAGCGCCTACTGCGTCAAAAAAGAACTTGAATGATTTGGCTCAGGTGGTGAGATGCAGCGACAAAAGAAGCGGAGTCTCTTTCGCAAGCCAGTCTGGATGACGATGGTTTGTTGTGGCTACTGTGGAGGAAACAAACGCAGCGTAAAGCTGCAGAAAATACTGAGAACACGAGCACAACGAGATGGAAGAGAATGGAGAAGATGACAACTTAGGAGAACGTGAAGGCAATCCCGAAGTATGCTGCACCAAATGGTCAGGATGGAGCAGTCGGCACAAGAATCAAGGGAGCTAAAAGCACCAGTATATTATGGAAACACATCCAACTGTCACAGCCACATCAAACGCACATTTTGTTGAGACTTTGGGAATCCGCATGACTCAGCGAGTTTCAGGCTGAGTTTAGCAAAGGCAAAACTCAAGACTGGCCCAGAGCAATAGTTCAAAGTTCTAGTCTAGCTAGAGCCAAAATGCTTCCAATAGTTTGAAACTAGTTTGGGGGTAAGATTCAGCTAGCTTTAAACCTGCACGGCACTTCAATCTAGTTAGGGCTAGTTTGAAACTAGTTCGAACATATATATATGGTTTGGAACTAGTTCCGAAACTAGTTCTCGAACTAATTCAATAAAAATATACAGTATATAGTAATATAATACCCATAATACAAATTAACATTGCAATCAACTTGCAATCAAATTGCCACAGGTTGCTACGGTGCTTGGGCCCTGTGTCGCCATGTTGCCAAGCTCAGCAAGGCACAGCCATGCTTATCGTATATTGAAATTTTCCGCTTCCTCTTGAACCAGGTACCAGCGACAGGCTGTTGGCTAACAGGCATCTTGCAAGATCCCAAAATTAACACGAGCAAATGAACACCACTTCTTAGTCTTGGGCACAAATATCTACATGCCTCAAAATGCTCGAAAGTCTTTGCCGATGCCTTCTTGAGAGGTTGAGAGGAAAGGCACTTTTGATCCATTTCTCACAGGATGTCACCTGCTTCAGTGAAACATTCTAAATCATTCCATGCCCATTCTCTGCAACATGCCTCATCTCAGCCCTTGTCGAGTGGTCTAGTTCGACATGAATGAGAAGGCATTTGCCAATGAGTCCTATGAGCTCGAGGTTTAAGTTGAATTGCATCTCAGCATGTTCCTGACACTTTCAGCTTCTAGGGCCCTAGGGCAAGTAAGCTCTGCCAGCGGCGCTTGGATTTTCAAAGCAGCAAGTTTCAAACAGTAATGACACAGACTTCAAGCAAAATTGCAATTGTTCTACTTAGTATTGGATTCCCGTGCTCAAACAGTTTCCAAGCACTTGGGATCGTCACGTCTGTTGAGAAGCCCTTTGAAGAACACGCTTGGTCGAAACATTACAGAATTACAGAACTCATTTGCAAGCAAAAGAGTGTACTCTGCATACTCAAAATAACGTGCAAACAGCTTCTGGAGCTCGACTTCTCGGCATTTTGTGCAAAGCTACAATTTATGCAAAGTCTTTTGCTGCGCCTCAATTTATGCAAAGCCTGGCGGCACGGAAAGCACCGCATCGTCCCGAAGTCTCCGATCCTTTCGCCGAAGGCGTGGATTGCGTAGAGCTGGGCTTGGCTCAATACCAAACGCATCCAAATCTTCAGACCATTTCCTTCAGGAAACAAGACATGTTTTGGAACTCAACCTGTTTCTGTGTAAGCATCTAGAATCTATGATACACATTGTACAGTTTATTGATCATTTGTGAGCCAGTATTCGGATTGCTACGTCTTAGGATTTCACCGCAAATAGTTCTGAAACAGGAGCCTAGTCACCATGTCTGTTTCGCAGATGACCAGTCATTCAATCATACTTGAACTAGGTTGGTACTCTGGCACTGCAGTTTGTCCAAGCAGCTTTGGGGAAAAGTCAATGGCTCTCACTCTAGCACAAACAAAGGCCGTTGGAGCGTCATCTGGCATAGCACTCTCCCACTAAACAAATAGTTTCCTCCCGATTCCCCAAAAATCTACTGAAGCTACTAACTTCTACCATGTCACGCCTTCGTGGCCACAAAAGATCTCTGCAGCTAAGTTTCTGGAGCACTTCAGCAACCCCAAGCTCTTGGAGTATCACCGGTGCTTCCCAGGACTTTGCTTCTGTGGAAATATTCCAGAAGAAAGGCCTTGCATTTGCCTTTGTCTCTCGAAGAACCATCCATTCACCCATCTCTGCAATACCTAACATCACCAGCGGTTCACAAAATGAACGCTCGTCCAAAGCAACGAACCATGGCCAAGTTCCGACACATTGTATCTGACTTGATGTAGAGAGACCCCATACAGAAGAACAGCCCAGTGGGAAGACGTTTCCACCAGTGTCCGTGCGTAGGATGCTTTTTCACATTCCTCCCGAAGAGCCCCAACCCTCATGCCGTTTTGTTCAAGTATCTTGCTGTAAAGATTGTGTAGAGACTGTAGAAATTCTTGGCAATGCCCAAGGCAGTTGCGTCAGTACAGTTGCTTTATTTAAAGTCTATTTGTGTCTGTGTATGTAAGGGTGGGCGCTGATACAGGGCCCCATGATGGAGTGTTCTCAGACCTATTGAACTTAAAGTTGTATGTGTCTACATCAGCACCACCCATGTGTATCTCACATATTTTTATATTGCATCTGCATCTGTGCATAATTACGCTTCCACACACCACAAAACATCATGTGCGGTGACTCACCGCCTTGAATATTTATGGACTGACCATTTAGCTGGTTCGAGAATCCTACATTGTATCTAAAAATGCAATCTTCATTATCAAAATTGTCATGTTCCTTTTCTTTAACAGCACCACATGGCCTGTGTATGGCCATGTTGTCTTTTTTATGTTAAATCAGTTCTGGTGATCTTTGAGACTCTATTTTTCTCTATCAAGGGGTTCCCTATGAATACATTGCCAATAATCAACATCGTCATAACAATTATAGACGGTTAATCTTTTGTTTGTTCATCGTTCTGTTGGAAAATGCAATGCTGGTTGCATGGGAGCTTAGCACTATTTCGTAAAGTAGCCTCACCTAAAAGAAGCACCGTCAACAGTCAGTTCACTTGTTCCATGTCAGATAGCCTTCAGTGTTGCCAATCCTGACACCGGCACATTGGCACAGTTACTTCACTCCATCTCTTGACCAGCCACCCCAACCGTTAATGTGTCTATTGTCTACCATTGCCTAGCCAACACCATCAAACACAGTCAAATGTATACAACTTGCAGTTATATCTGTTAGCTTATCCAGTTTAAACCAGTCGTCAGTAGCTAGTCAAGTGTGATCTACACTGTTTCATCTATAATAGTTAATGTGAGTTGCATGCCATGCAACATGAAACGCGAAACGTGCACCACCGAGACGGGTGGGCTCGAGAGTTGAAAAGCCCTACGGTGCAGTCACCTCGGTGACTTTCGTGTCGGCGGACGCGCGCGTTCCGCTTTCGTTGGTGGTGGACTTCGTTTGCTACCACCTGGTTTTCCACATTGGTAGCGGAGCCCCATCCAGGGGCTCTGCATGCGCTACGCGAGAACGACCACGAGGTCCTGCATAAGACCCGGCGCTGGTCCTGATGTGAGAGACCGCTTCTGTCAAAGAGGCGGGAGCCGAGCGAGTCGGCATCAAAGGTGCCGGAGATGTTCACACCCACAGCAGTGAGTGATCGCTGCACTCTCCTGAAGCGCTGGACATAGCCCCGCATGGTCTCTCCTTGGCAGCGGAAGGTTTCGAACTCATGGAGGAATCTTCTTTTCTGGTTTGTCAAGCGCTGCTCAAAGGGCTTCTTGAGCAGCTCCATGATCACCTCCACTCCATCATCCTTGTGGATCTGGCTCATGTCCAGGTGCTCAAGTTCTTGTTCCAACTCGCCGGTCAAGCCGGCATAAAGAAGCAAAGCTTGGTCCTTCTTGCTGGCATAGGATTCCATTTGGAGTTTCCAGATGTCAGTCTTCTTGCGGAACTTGGCATAAGCTCTCATGTCGTTCTGGTCGTACTTCCATTGGGGAACGGCCGGGGGTTGGCCGCTCTTCCATTTGACCCCAGGCATAGGGCCTTTCTTCGAGTTCCATGAAGTCGGGGAGGAATTAGAGTCCCTCCAGGTCTGGTCCTTGGGAGACGTCCCAGGGACAGATCTGGTAATCGAGGGGGGCGAGAAGGTCGTGCAGACGCAGGAGCTAGTTGCGAACCAGCTTGACGGGATACTCGAGAAGGAGAACCTTGTGGTAGGTTGTGTGGTCGTGGTTGTCGAGGAGGTACGCCGCCGGCAGCGCCGCCCACATTCATGTCCTCGCGGTCCACGACGGGGTCATTGGTTCTCTGTTCAGATTCTGCTTGTTCTGGGTCGTTGTCGCCTTCTAGGCTTGGCTCGGGGTCCTCAGGGTGTCCGTCCAAGGTGGGCACAAACATCCATGTTCCGGCCGTGGTGACCCGCTTGGTCGTCCTTGTAGAACTCCTCGCGAGTGGAGTCACGGCATCTCCACTGCATGGTTCCGATCTCTGTCAAGTTGGTGGAGTCACACTTCAAGCATCTCCATCTAGCTGGTGGCGAAGTGGGCTCAACATCCATGGTCTCCTGGACCGGCCTTGCAGGAGGCGCTGACCACGTGGAAGCCTCAGGAGGATCCGAGGGCTCATAGCCGCCGAAGAAGAAGTCGTCGTCAGGCAGCTCGTCATCATCGGCCTCCGAGGCAGAGGCAATCCGAATTGGAATCCGGCTCCAGTTCGGCGTCGAAGTCAAAGCACCGTCCTGCAAGAACAAGGCTCCGGTGCCAACTTGGTAACGCGGCAGCCTTACCGCAAACACGATCGCGCCATTTCCAAAGCGAGCGGCGCGAAAAGGTGAAGGCTCGAGGATCCTATGGAGGACAATCGCACGTTCAGGTTAAGTTTTTCACTGGTCTTCTTTCTTTTGGCATTTTGGTCTTCGAACCTAGATCGACTCTCCTGGTTCGAGGGGTGATCGACCAGGATCGCCACTGGCAGAACGAGCTCTATCTGGGTTTTGAAGAGCCCTACCTTACTGTCGCCTCCATCATGGGCAAGCCCACAAAACAGACCCAGGCTGCACCTGCCTCGAGTTCGAAGGAGAGCACGAGCTACGCTGATCTTCGAGACAGCTATGTGCCCTTGTTTTCCGGCCAGCCGGCCGACTACAAAGAATGGCGCCAGAGGATCCACCTGTATCATCGAAAGATGACCATTTCGAAGAGGAGCAACGAGAGCGTGTTGAACATCGTGGGATCGTGTTTCAGGAGTGGTCCATCGAGGAAGAAGGAAGACGCCTTCACGCTTCTGATAGCCACCCTGGACGCCAACTTTGCCTATGACTCCCGCGTGCAGCTTCCCTCCGACTTTGAGAACTACTTCAACCTCCTGCAGAGGCCTGCCGGCCAAACTCTGTTGCTGTACGTGACAGATCACGAGGAGGCGTACCGGAAGCTGCAGCAGCACAAGGTTGAGTTGCCCTCGCAGGTACAAGGATGGCATCTTCTACGCCGAGCCTTGCTCAGCAGAGAGCATAGGCAAATGATCACCCTGCGCGCTCCCAGTCTTGAGAAGAACGAGGTGATCGAAGCCATGTACCTCATCCTGGGCCAAGATTTCAAAGGTGGAGGATGGAACACCGAAAGAAATCGACGCTTTGGCTTCAGCCCCCAGTGGAAGAACAGAGCCTATGCGGCCGCAGAGGACTATGATGGTGAAGATGATGACTATGATCACTGGGAGTCCGGCTACTATGAAGGTGAAGAATGGCATGAGGAGCCAACCTATGACCCGGACGAGGCCTATGAATTCGATGAAGACGCCGTTTACTACGGCGATGAACCATGGCCCGATGATGACACCTCCGCGACTTCGCCGCACGAACTGGCAGAAGAGTACGACATGGCCTTCGCCTCGTACACCGATGCCCGAAAGAGATTTCAGGAGCTCAAGATGTCCCGCGGCTACTTGCCGATTGTTGCCCTCACCGATCAACAAGGAGGTCACTCGCCCACATCCTCGACTACCTCACCAACATCTTGGAGGGCGAAGGGCAAAGGAAAGGGGAGTTCCAAATCTGGCAAGTCCAAGTCGAAGACCAACATCCGCTACTCCAACACGGACACACGGCCAGTTGATCCCCGGGCAAGAGCAAAAGCTGCGATGACTTGCTTGAGATGTGGCCAGCCTGGTCACTGGGCAGCAAACTCTCCGGCTCCATGAAATCTGGTCAAAAGCGACCGGCTCCTTCCACCACAGAGGGTATCTCAGCCAATGAGGTCCAAGTCTTCATCTTCAGCTCCTTCGGGTTGGTCGTCCTCCTCGGGAGCTTCTGCATCATCGAGGCCTTCGTCGGCCTCTTCAACTGCATCTGCAAACTCATCCTCGTCGTCCCGAATCGTGCCATCCGGGACCTCAGTGATGAAGGCGTGGCGTTTGCCTTGCCGGAGCCCTTCGTGAAAGAAGAGGTAGGGGCCAAGGTGGAAGGTGAAGACGTCATAGTCCCCTTGCCCTTCCCCTTTGCCGCGCCATCTTTTCCAACCACAGGTGGTGCTGTTCTGAACTCTGGCCATTGGAGCACCAAACATTCGGCAATGGCCTCGAAGTCAAGGTTTTGTTGGGTTCCCACGAGAACCAAGTTCTGAAGGTCGTGGCTCCGGCTCCTTGGCACGCACGCGCTTTGCAGGAGGCTTGGGCTTGGTCTTCTTCAAGTCCTCCTTCTTCTCCTTGATCTCACTTGGAGGACTTTGATCTGATGGCCACCTCTTGTCGAATTCTTCTTTGACCATATCTCGAGCTCCCTTTGCAAATTCCAAAGCCTTTTCATGGTTCCCATCATAGTTTGGATGGCATTTGTAAAGCTTCATGGCTGCACCATGGCCTCTGCTCTCCACTCGATGCCTCCAAACTGATCGTTTCTCATCAGTCCCTTTCATGCCATCAAAAAAACGCTCCTCCACGCAAAAGGAACTCATTGGAGATGGTGGCTCCTCCACATCCTCACTGTTGCGGTTCAAATCCAAAGTGGCACTGGAACGATTCATAGGCTTTGATGTAGTCTTCACCTTAGCCTTTTGGCTTACTTTCTTGGCTGCGCTTTCCTTGGGCTTGCTTTGATTTGCCTGCTTCTCTTTCTTCTTTTTGGTTTTCCTTTTCCGCAAATTTTCAACAGGACCTGACTTGAAAGCTTCCTCCAGCATGTTTTCCTCTCCACTGTCCAAGGTAGTTGGCATGAGAAAAGATGCGCCTTTCTTCATGGTCACTTTCGATGGTGTGTCGGTGGAGCACCCTGCACTAGCCGTTTGGCCTTCCTTCCACGGTTCCCCAAACTCATGGTCATCCTCGTCTTCGGACTCCGGCCTGTTGACAATCTTCTGGAAAAGCTTCTTTGGGCTGATCCTCAAAGCCGGTTTGCGTGGTGGTGGAGGTGGATCTGGCAGAACAACCTTGATCTCAGGGTCTTTATCCATGATGGCCAGCGGACCTGGAGGTGGTGGTGTGTCTTCTGCATCAGACTCCCTGGAATCACATTTGTGCAGGAGTACTAGCACCGAGTTGATAGCCTCCTGAGTCTCAGAGTCAGCCCTTCTGTAAGCCCTTTCTTTTGCGTGGGGATCTTTGGCCAAATCTCGATACTGTTTCATAGCTGTTCTCACAATGTTGTCAACCAGGTCGACATAGTCTGAAGTACTTTGTTTTGAGAAGTTACACTTCATTTGTTGGTCCAACCTTTCAATAGCTGTCTTGTTCTTCTTGGGTGGCAACATACTGTTCGGTGCAATCTTTGCATAGCGTTGAAATAGTGGTGCATGTTCTGACAAGAAAGTGATATCTGGCGCACTTTTCCATGAGAAAGTTGGTGACACGTGGAGCAGCTTGATCAAATTCCTGTCACCCTTCTCCTCCATGTACTTTGACAAGGGTTCCATCAAGTCTGTCACTCCGATGCTAGGGTCAGCGGATAGGCGAAAGCGAGGTTGCTTCAACATTGCCATTTTGGCCACTGAAGGGTCAACAGCAAACACAACTCAGTAACCACAATATAGTACCACAAGGTTCTTCACTGAATGCTATATTTTTAACTGACAGTATAGAGTATAAGATCTCCTTCAAAATGCATGCAACTGCATGTGCTTGAGTAAAGAGGCGCAGGACGTAGAGGAAAATCACATATGTGTTTCGATACTGTATATGCATTGAAGACTTGAAGAATGACATGAATGAGTGTGAACTTCAGCCAGACTTGAACCACACAAGTTGTATACCTCATCTCACCAGTGCAAACTAAATAACAAAGAAAAACACTGACTCTCAATGTTCTCTCACAATGTCCTCTCTCAGGGTTCTTGCTCTCAGTAGGTCCTCTCTCAAGGTTCTCTCAATGTCCCTCACTCTCACAAGGTTCTCTCACAAGGTTGCTTTCGTTTCTCCCTCTCTCAAAACAATGACTGCAAGTTCTCTCCTGCACAGGCTGCGTTTTCCACAAGTTCAAAAACGTCTCCAAACAATCACCTAGTGAAAGAAAAGTATACGCTGTCAATCTCCAAGCTCGAAGTGTCACAACTATGTGTGTCAAGGGTTGTTTAACATATGTGTCTCGCAACGCTCGTTTGGAACAAAATCGCATAGCTGAGAGCTTTCGAAATGTTGATCAAACTTCGAAGTACACCCTTCGAAGTTTCAAGTAAACTTCGAATAAA